AAAAAAATGATGCCCCTCTGGCAACATGAACGTATAAGAATGAAGTGTATCACAAGAACGTCTGGAAAGATGTCTCGATCGTTAGACGAAAAGTTCAGACATCTCTTGGATATCTTTTTCACTTTTGTGTTGTCTGTAAGGAAAAGCTTAGGAGTTCCAAGCCTTGTAGAAAATTAGCCCGTAATCAGATCTTTTCTTTTTTTTTCTTTCTTTTTTTTTTACAAAGTTGTTCAAGGAGTAAAACGTTGTGTTGTATAGGTAAATTCTTTCAGACGGGCGTATCGATCGAACGATTCGCGGTTCCTCGTCTGCAAAACGATATATACGAAATGTCCCATTCCAGTTTTTTCTCCGGGAAGAGTAACAGCTGACACGCAGCTGATGCTCTTCGCTGCGCATCCACACGCGACGTGGATCATGAAAGTTTGATGACGTGGGGCCTGGTTGGTTGGTGTTTCAGTCGCCGGACACACAGGCGTGGCAGAATGATTACCTGCAGGGCACGGGCTGCGAGATGTACACGGAAACCCTGTCCCCGTCCTTTACCGGGATGACATTTCCCCAAGCCAGCGAGTAAGTTCTCGCTGCCAATGGCTGTCACATGTAAACGTACCGTACAGACACACTTTTACACAAATCACGTGACACAATACATATATATATATATATATATTCAAAATTGACAATTATATGGACTGCCATACACATATAAGAGAAGAAAGAAGGAGAAATACAATATAGAAATATACATTTCTACCGACACCGTAATACTTTGTTACGAATTTCTTTCTTTTCTGTCTCTTTGTCTTTCTCTCTATTTATCTCTTTGTCTTATCTTCGTCTCACGACTAACACACTGATCTATCCCAATACCGAACATACATATATTGCCACATATATCTATACTTTGAGAACATATATCAATTTTTATATATACATTTATATATATCGCCCCTCACCTCGGTCTCTTAGTCTTTAAACGATTTTCTTCACTAGTCTCTACTATATTTGTCTTTTTTGTCTATCTCCTTTTGTTTGGATTTTGCGTAGAGTAGTCCAGTTTTCAGCTGTACGAATCTATTCTCTCCTCTTTATTTTCCTTTTTTTCTTTTTGTCTCCGTTCCCCTCTTATTCTTCCAATCAGTTTTGATTTTGGTTTTCGAGCTGCTCGAAATTTTGCACAGATCTTTGTGAATTGCGTAGAAATGAAGAGTAGAGAAACGTATCGGGGACGAATGCGGACTTCGCTTGTCAGTCGTGACGAATATCGTCGCCGATTGTGTTCGGTCTAATTGGGATGCTTGATTGGCAACGGGGGAATTTGCGATGTTTCTGCGCGGAAAGTGTTTCAAACCAACACCCGCATTCGGAAATTGCTGGAAACACGCGATTCGTGTGCGAGTGATCGCGATTCAAAAAATATTGTCGGATTGATCGTGATGACCATATCGTGAAGACCGACGAATGCAATGGAATTTCTATAATTCCGGAACAATCGAAATCGAGATTGAAGATTACGCATTGCTCAAGCTTTCGATTTATTCACGCAAGTACAATTTTTTTCTTGTACAATTTTTCAAGGATTTTTTTCTTTCTCTTTCTTTTTTTTTTCTTTTTGTATATAATTAATTTTTTACTGTGGAATTATTTCGTTATTGCATAGAAACTGCACTGTGAAAAGTAATTACTTATGTTACAATGTACACGAAACGTTCATTCTCGTGACATTAAATATCGCGAGAATGACTTGATTGTCGACCTTGAATATTCTTAATCTTAAGTCGGTGCACATAACATTGTGTCGCAGTGTAACGTGACCTGCGGCCGTTCGTATAAATTTTAACTAGTTGAAATTAGACGCGCGTGCGAGATCCGCATTCGCCCCGGTAAATCGTGCATCCCGCTTCGGCAATATCACAAGTTTTTGCGGCGCAACGTGAGACGAAATGAGAAAGAAACGCGCGTGTATTGTGACCTTTTTTCGAACGGTGCGTGACGCATAATCCTGTTTTTTATCCGGAAAAAGGAACTCCTGTACAGAAAAATGATTTTTAGATTTTAAATGAACAACTTTGAACATAACGAGCGAGATTTTTGTCTTTTTATCGATAATGTCCGTATCTTTGTCATGGTGTGTGTTCTTAGATGTAGCATTCTAATCTTCTCTTAACAAAAGCGCGTTCTTTGTACACGCATGCCTGCTGCTCTTTACTATGTAAAAGTATGTGAAACTTATTCTCGTAACACATTGACACAGATTATTGGAAAAGTGTCCTGGCGGATATCGATTGTGGTTGCCAATTAAACATAAATATGTATTAGTACGTACTGTTCGTTAACTGATTTAATCGAGCTCGCAATTCTGTTCTTACGGAAAGTCTCGGAGTAATTTATGAGATGCCGCTCTTCCTGTAAATATTAATATATTCTGCAGATATCAGTTTGCTGATACTGGAACAGACACACACACACACACACACACACACACACACACACACACACACACACACACACACACACACCTTCATATGTGGAAAGCACCCTGTGCACCCTGTGTCCCGGAATGTCCGCGGGACATCCCGCAGGACTGCGGAAGTATCGGGCGTAAAAGTTCACTCAGTTAAGGATAGATTGCCAGCGCGTTCTACGCCTCGAAGCGATCACTATCCAGTAAACTATCCGTCAAGCAAATATATTATAATAATTACTAATTAATATGCATTAACGTCAGCGGTCAGACTTGTTATATCCTGCTGCTAAATGTGTTCCAAATTTTGATACGTCATCAAGAGAATTTAATTTCTGCTTATATTTAGGAAAATATCGTAGTATCTGATACATTTTATTAATATAATTTTCATTTACGCCTTACGCCCTTCACTTTTAATTTTCTTGCTATTTGTTTTAACTCATTATTTTAATAAAGGCACAATTCCACGAAGGCATTTTTCCACGAATCTGACTCCTGCAAAATTACAAAGCTAACACTTGGTTGATTAATCTCAAGAAATATCCCGTATATTTTAACGGTACGAAAATATTTTAGAATTTTTCGTGGAATTTTCATGAAAATGACGGCTGTTGTGCGACAGCCATATGCGACCCTGCGGGATGAAGGAATTTTCGGGATGGATTTATGGCGTCGCCAAATGATCCAGTCATCCTCCTACGTCCGACGAGTTCTAATTCGCGCTCCACGAATTCCCGCGGATTACGGCAAAATGATCGATCGATCGAGCTAGCCAATTGTACCAATATTTCGCTTGAGAGATATTCGCATACGATGTAATATGCGTCTCGGACATCTGCATTCTCTGTCGATTCGTTGTTGTTCACGCGCAATGATAATGCACGTAATCAGATTACGGATTTGCGTATTAATATCTTAATCTAGTTTTCGACAAATCTGTAAATTTCCATGACGTCAGCTAGTACGCAGTTCCGAACGATCAAAAATTTTCGCGTGTAATTCCGTTCATAAACTGTATTAAAGTAACTCATAATATGTAGAGGAAATGAGAAAAATGGAATTTATATTAAATATTAAATTATAACAAAGCAGTGAACGAGAAATTAACAAGCTTACATATTTTTCTAATTTTGTATGTGACTTCTTTTCTATTTCAAAGAAGTTCCAAGACGTTTCACAATATTGATGATATCGATTAGCCTTGAAGAGTATAACAAGAACTGTTATAAACTTTGTCTCTTAAGCTTTTTAAATATTATTAATTTTTATTAAAATATTGAGAAATAGTCTCGCTTTTAATAAAATATTTTATATATGTTTTATAAATATTTTATATATAGGTGTTATGTAAAGTGTTATATCTCTGTTTTTATTATAATTTTATACAAAAAAGATTTATACAAACACACTTTTGTATTTATATTTTTTAAGTTAAATAGATATTATATACAATAAAACAATATTATATAATAACCTGGCTTCGAAATAACTTGATTCATATTTTGTTTATTGAAATCAACTATTAGAATCTTTTATTAATCACAAAAAAATCAAAGTTTCCTTAATCGCAATTTTTTTATTGTTTGTAAAGCAAAATTATACTTTGAGTATTTTAACAAAATTAAAAAAACATTTAAACATTATAAAAACATTTAAACTGAAATGGATATTTAATTATCTTGACAGACAAATAATTTCATTTGAAAATATCTCGAAAAAATATTTTTCCTGTATTTTTTGCAAAGCTATTATTATTATATGAAATCATAAATGCCTTCGTATATGAATTTAAATGCAAATCAAGAAGTATATATTTTCAATATCCGCGTCTATTAATCTATTATCTATTAATTATCGTTATTTAAGCAACACTATTATCACTGTTATATTGTTATTGTTATACGTCAAGAATTGATATATTAAACATCGAAATATCAATTGCTTTGAGATTGAATGAATTTGCAACTTCATGTGTTGTAGCATTTGCTCTTTCACGTGCATAAATGTTACACCTTTTTTTTTTCAAATTATTTAAATGCAATTAAGGCAATCGCAACTGACTCTTGAAAATATACAGACTGTCTCGCAATTGCTGCTGCTATTTCCAGTTGTGGAGTCCATGATCAATTCGAGGATGATTTCCCCTGAGTGAACGCTTTACTGGACGCAATTTTTCTTTAATTTTTTAACATTTAATCTCGACTGTATATCTCTGTCTTTAAATTAATATTTTCTTAAATATCAAAGTTCATCTAAAATTAAACGAAAAAAATCGTCCTTTTTTTCTAAAAAATATCTGATTTCTTAAAAAATGCCGATAGTCTTAGTTTACTTCTTTTCTAATAGTATCGCTATTCAAATCAAGATAAAGACATCGTTTTTACGAGCGTGTTAACGTTACATTATTAACACTTGGCCAACCGCCCGAGTTACGCTTGATTAAGCTCTAACCACCACACATTTTTTGTGAGGGTTGTGTGTATTAATATGTTTTAACACTAGAAGTATCAAGTGGTCATTTTTGACTGTTTCTGTCTTTTTTTAATTAATACTTTTTTCTGGTTAAAAAAAAGATAGAATTTTAAGATCTTCCGTCTTTAGTATTATATCAAAACAAAGATAATTGAAAAGTCATAGACAATTTCAAAATTGTGGTTTTAATAAAACAAAAGATTAATATTAATTTAAAAAATTGTCAGAAATAACTGCTCGGTATCTCTAGTGCGAGTTCCATAAATTTACACCGGCGTATTTATTTATCGTATTTCTTGACGTAATACAAAAACACAGATTTACCCGTGTGATTGAAAGAAACGTTAACGAAATCAATGTGCTCAATAAAGAAGAAACGCGCTTTTGATGATTCATTTCAACATTTTCATTGAGCAAAACGTCATTAGACGTGATGGCGCCACCGATCAACTTCGCGCAACATCTTTCAACAGCGGCAAAATAAAATATTTAGTCGTCCCGTATGCGAATTAATTTCTATATTTTCATTCTAGCACATCACTGAACATTCCAATTTAAAAAAATTTTAATAAAATTCAAATACTGCGTCCAATTGCTTTTCAATGACCGATAAACTATTGAAATTTATATAAATTTTCAAGTTTCGATGGATTCTCGAGTTCCATGTCGTAAACCTCCATGACGATCCGTCACTGAGACACCGATCCGTCAGCTGCATTTGAAGTGGTTGACGAAGTGACTCGCGTCCTGATCGTTGTTTCGTGATAAATCGCGCCTCGCGCTATCTCTCCCGCGATGCCGAATTTCACGAAGTGGTACTTCGTGTTAATCATTATCACCTGCGTGACGATCGGTAAGTGATAAAATCCCGGAAATCGCGCGGCACTCTCCTTTTCTCTTGGCCACCCATTTATTTTCGTCCGACGATATTTTTTGCCGTAGGCCACGCCCTGGAGTGTTATGTTTGCACGGATCAGGAGGGCAATCGAGATAAATGTCTGAATACTATTAAGACCTGCGAACAAGGGCAGGATGTTTGCCTTACGGAGATTAGATGGGGCAGTAAGTATGCTCACCACACGTTGTTGGTGTTTTTGAGGTTATATGCGAAGTCGCGTGCTTCTGCAAACGCATTCAGACGAATTTATCTATATTCCAATTCAAGTCAACGACTCGTTTAATCGCACTTTATGGAGTTGATAAGAAGCTGTACTTAATTAAATAATTGGATTTTATTGATTTTATCGATATCTTTTGGACGACAACGTGAAGGAATCCAAGCATCTTGTTTTCAGTAGTGAAAATATGACTTCAATTAAAAAGAGATAACCCAATTAAGGGTCGGCAGGAGTGACGCTAACTCCGACTGACCTAAAATAATTATCTACTCCTTATTTACAGTGCAGATATGTATTTGTACTCAATTATATTTTGTCTTATAGAAACGATGTTTCGTCATGAAACTTTGTTAAGATAATTTCTTTTATAATTACGAAGCTACCTACAGAGCCAATTTTGCAATTTAGCTCTTAAATAATTAAAATAAATGTAACTATCTACTCCTTATTTACAGTGCAGATATATATTTGAGTACCCATATATTATCTCGTAGAAGCAATATTCTGCCATGAATCTTTTTCTACTTTTTATAAAATTATGACTCTTGCTACAGAGCCGGATTTTGCAATTTGGCTCTTAAAAAAAAATTTACAATATATGAGAATATTTGCACTTTATTGTTCTATGGTGCAAATCTATGTATGCATAAATGAATTATTTATTTTCACACATTTTCTTCTTTTCTTTCACAAAAATCGTTCTGTAGCTTTTGTCAGTCAAATATTCTGATTAAATATCATAATTATATATATACTTTTCTCGCAGCAATTTGGCTGTAATATGGGTGAAAAGAAATTTATCTCCAATAGAGGTCTCCACAGTCTCTCCTGCCAACTCTTAAAGACTTATATTTATTTAATTAGGTGTACCCTAGTGATAAGTTAACGCACGTGATATTGGATTTCAACATACAATGGTGTTGCTGTAACGATAACAAACAACATATTATAGGTACACCGTATTGGTCTCAGGGTGCCAAGAAGCAATTTTATGTCTCTAAAAAGTGTGCTGCTAAAAGAGAATGTGAGAGGATGCAGCGAAATAATATGCCCGATTGTACTCACATCTGGTATCAAGACTGGCAATGTTCTTCTTGCTGTCAGGGTGATAGGTGTAACTACTATGTTATTGTGAGTATAATTTTTATTATTAGTAATTTAAAAAGAATGCAG